CTTGCTTAGGGGCAGAGGTGCTACCTGGTCTCTGCTGCCAAAGAAAAGGGAGAGGATTTGCTGCCTGCACAACTGCCTACCAGAAAGCTGGCATCTGTGTTTAAACGGGAAGAGCTCAGCCCTTGGCTAGGCAGGCGACTGGGAGGGAGCGCCCTGAAGCCCCCTGCGTGGGTTTCTTCTCCATCCCATTCAATTTAATTGGCAAGACTCGATGAGCAAGCGGGCACTAAGAAGCACAGGCGTGGATGCCATAGCATTCCTCCTGGGCCAGCACTGTCCTAACGACCCCACCACAGTGACATCACTGATCCATACACCGCCTCCCCCCCCTTGCTGTAAGGTTCCCCTGGCACCCAGCCTTTCTTGGGCGAACGCGGAAGACCCTACCTGAGTGGCAAGGAAGGAGAGCAGGAGGCCGGCCCCACAGAGAGTCCTCGTCCTGCACATGATTGCTGCCCTCTGTGCACTTCTGGCCAAGGGCGGACGGGCAGCATAGAGAGCCCTGCAGCCAGGGCAAAGTTTGCCTTAAAACCCATGGGGGGGGGCTGGTTTCAACAGCCCTTGGAAGCAGGCCAGCAAAGGCGAGGCAGGATATTGCGCCACCAGCTCTGCGGGCACAAACACCACTGCCCTCTTCCTCGAGGGTTTGGCCAAATCTGTGGGGCAGGGCTTTATCCGAGCCATGACTCATCAGGATCAGAGATGGGCTCTGGGGTTTATATCACCCTTCCCCACAACAGGCACTCTGTGAGCTGTATGTGGGGCTGAGAGAGCTCCTTCAAGAACTGTGCTTGAGAGAACAGTTCTGAGAGAACCGTGACTGACCCAAAGTCACCCCGCTGGCTGCGTGTGGAGGAGGAGGAGGGGTGGGGAATCAAACCAGATTCTCCCAGATTAGAGTCTGCAGCTCTTAACCGTGACACCAAACTGTCTCTCAGAGGCACAGAGTGAATTCCATATTGGACCTTTCAAATGTACATTTATACCAGGATCAATGTTCCCTCTCAGCTGTGGAGCCTTGTGAGCAAAAATCCTACTTTGTGAGCTACCGGCATTAAAGTTGTGAGCGAAAGCTATAGTCTGGTAAACTGTGTTGCTGTCGGTGGTGGAGGAAAGGGCCATCAACTCGCAGACGATTTGGGCTTCCAAGGCAAGAGACTGACAAGCGTTTGCGCAGGGCGAGGAGTTCGGGTCTCTGTTTAAGCCCGGACGACACGCAGAGGAGAGACGCGTCGCATGCGGGCCGCCACAAGAGGGCGCTGTAGGAGCGCACAAAGCCGCCGCCGTTTGCGGCCAGTGATGCTCCGGCATTGCTCACACTCCACGGCCAGCGGCGGCGGCTGCTCCGAAGAGAGGGCGAGCGCGGCGGCCCCGGGCCTGCTGCTTCTCCTCCTTCTGAGCAAGGGCCGAACTCGGGAGGGACAGCAGCCTCGGAGGGCCAGGACCCCAGGCCCAGGCGCAACGCGCGGCGGCGAACCTCCCTGCCCCTTCGCCCTCGGCGGCTCCGGGCCCGCCAAGCAAGCCAGAAGGCCGGGAGGACGGCGAGGAGCACCGAGCCGGCAGCCGCCCGGGGGAGGGGGGCGCCGCATGGCTCTTCGGGGGCGGAGGAGACCGCCTCTCTCCCGCCACACCGGCCCGGCCGCCCGCAGGCCCGCTCCCGTCTGGCTCTCGCTACCTGGGCGCTTCGCTGTCGCTGCCAGGGCTCCTTCCCCGCGCCCAAGCGGCCCCCGCCAGGCGCCAGCCAGCGCTCTTTGTCCCTGGCTGACACACCTGGCCTCCCACCAGCCCAGGAGGGCGGCTGGGGGAGTGGGGAAGCCTGCCGCTGCCCC